CCAGACCAATTGATATGATATTGCTGAAGACTCTTCAGAGATGATACACATATATCATTTATGAAGTGACAGCAAGCAAGGGAAAATCCCAGAAGGAGAGTCCTTTTTTAATCAGTCAAACACTTCTGAAACACAAAGCAATTGTCAGGGCTGTTTTTCAACAAGTGTGATAGATACTGAGCACAAGAGGGTATCCTGCAGACCAGCCATTCTCAACGGAGCTTACATGGCTGCGCTGGGGTCCTGGCACATTTGAAGGGGGCCACAGACTGGAAACAGTTCTTCACACGCCTCCTTATGAGGTTTATTATGTGACTTGTATAATCCTAATTTGGTCTATAATTCTTTCTTATTGTGTTTATGGCCATAGTCAAAAAAGGTTGAGAATGTCTGCTGTACTCCATCTTGATTGCTGCCATTGGTGTCATTAATGTTCCAGTTGCCCTTTGCTATGTAAATCCTGACATCATTTTTCCTGCTGGCAATGTGGGCACAATATTGTGCAGCAATGCTGTGCAAAAATAACTTCCTTGCAATTTGAATCATGGATGCAGATTCCATATTCATAAACTGCAGGATTTTAAAAGAATTGAATGTATCATATTCTGAAACAGCTTGCCATGTTTTAGTTTCCTGCAGCAGAGTGTTACTATACTGCTGCACCCATTGTTACCATAACATGGTACCATAACCATGCTTTTTAAATGCCCAAGGTGTCCAGATTTTTTAAGTGACATTCATTTTGTGTCGGGCTTTATCTGTCACTGTTTCATTTTTCTTCTTATTAGAAAAAAGTACCAAGTTTCCCCGAAAATAAGACATGGTCTTATATTAATTTATGTTCCCAAAAAATGCAGTAGGGCTTATTTTCAGGGGATGTTTTATTTTTTTTTCCATGTACAACAATCTATATTTATTCAAATGCAGTCATGCCATCTTCTTCTGGTTGCTGCACAACGGTGGAGGGCAGGGTTTCACTTAACTAGGGCTTAATTTTGGGGGTAGGGCTTATATTACGAGCATCCTGAAAAATCATACTAAGGCTTATTTTCAGGTTAGGTCTTATTTTCAGGAAAACAGGGTATTCTATTTCACCTCTATATACCTCCATGCTTTGTGTGATAAATTTCAAGTTAATCTGCAAGCTAAAGTAGTAAGAAAATAAGAGGTATAAATGAATACCAAGTCTAAATGTATATATCAGCTCTACATGTAAGGACACTGTATCTGGTAATCAGTCTTGCATGCAGAATTGTATCGTTGTGAAAATTCACACCACAATGTACTGTATGTGAGAGGACATATTAATGTATAATATTTTTACTAGGAAGCCAAGTGAAGATTATGGGTAATGGTTAATCTGACATTGCATTCTGTCCCATTGGTCAATATAACATCACTGAAAGTGGAAGACTTACTACAATGTCAATAAAAGAGAGACACCGACTTTATATCTGATCCAAACCAGCGTTGACTTAGAAACAGCAAAAGAAAGGGGTCAAAGTAAAAGCAACTTGCAATTCTGCTTTTGCTGCAAGCAGGGAGTTTATCTCACAAGTCTGAGCACAATATGCAAATACTAGAAGAGTCTATTGGGAATGTATTCAAAGAGAAGTGCCATGTTTATTCAAAATATATTCAACAGCCACAATGGTATGTCAGTTATGCATATGCATGCATTGCATTGATGTCAAGTGACAGAAATATAAAATAAAGACGGTGGTGGTTGTTAAAGCAAACATCATCAGGACAATGCAATGACCTCTCTTGTCTGTCAAGCCACAGTAAAGGAGTTCGGACAAAATGAAGGGCTAGATTGTCCTCGGTAAATCACAGTATAATTCTGTGTTTTGCTACATAGAAGGAGACAGCAGGATAGTATCAAAACAGTTCACTGTTATTGTAGCCAGTTGTGTAAAATAGCAAACATGCACGTGCAAGGGCTGTGACAGTTTAGAACAAATGTAATTTTAATAGTTTGCTTTTATACCTTCAAAATAGACCTATAATTTAATTTTATAATACAAAGCTCTTTCTTTTGTATTGAACTCTATGCAGTAGACACCACAGACCAATCAATACATTGCACCACATTACTTTAATATTCAATGCAATACACCTTACTGCTGCAGATCACAGTCCTCTAGTGGAAAAAGTTGAATAGCCTCCAGATTTCGAATATGTTAATCAGGCTAGGCAGAACATATTCAAGCACAGAGTACTACAAAAATCTGCTTATAGTACAAAAGGGAAAGAGGTCTAATAAGAATTCAAAAAATATTTTTCGAACTTCCATATCCCTTAGTGCTTAAATAAAACATGTGACAGAAAATGGCAGCAATTAACTTCTGGTGTTTGCTTCTAACATTTAATTAAATAAGCAGTAACTAAATACTCCAAGCCTCTGTGGCCCTGCCACACATCCTGTGTCTTCCTGATCAAACCAAACAGAACAATATTATTCTCCAAATAAATCACGAAAACCTTGGGGTGGAACACAGGGACCCTGCATCATCAGCCTGAACAGCTTGGAGCCTGTCTTTGTTGCCAAAATAGAAATTCACTAAGCAGCTAAGGATGGGGACTCTGACAGCTGTACTACCTGGTCACCTTCTAGTGGCCTTTCCAGCAGGTGGGATCAGTTGAAATGTCTTTGCTTTGAAAATACTCAAAATGTCAGCAATAAATATTGCAGTTAACTTCTGTTTAATGGAAAGATTGAGAATAGAACCCGAGCAGAGTCTTTGGGCTTACTGTGAGTCTGGTATACCACATAGTACAGGCTTTTTCAGGAAAATCACTTATAGGACAAAAGATACTGTTGGAATTTGTTGGCTACAAGGGGTCAAAACGTTGTTTTCCTGAACAAATCAGCTCTAAATTCCAGCTCTAAAATGGAAATATTTTGTTGGCCAATATAACCCCACTCCTTGGTTACCATATTAACTCCAAAACCAACAGATTTAATAGGTATTTTCTTCTGATTAGAACAATCATTGATACATGTACATGCCACTCTGTCACCCCTTAAAAATTAAAAGGAGCTCTTGCCCTTTTTTTATCAAAACTTTTTAGAGCACGGTTGGGGAAATTTTGACCTTCAGATATTTTGATCTTTAAATCCCATTTGCCCAATGATAAGGAATTATATTAAGGGATTATATAGAGTTTTAGCTCCAAATACTCACTTAGAGAATAAATGTTTCCCTGCTGTGCAGAGATGCTCATGTAGTTCTTAATTTAAAACAATCAATCAAACAAACAAAGAAACAAAGATCAAAGCTATCCTATTCCCCTGTAGTGTATTTGGTCTACTGTACATTACATTAACAAGTAAATCTGAGGTCTCAGTCCATACCAGTTTGGACACAATAGCTGCATGAGGAGATATTAGTTTCAGGTTCCATAGAACCCCTTTCCTGCTCACATTTCCTCTGTACACAATTAAGAACACGGGGTCATTACTGGGATGTCCTGATGTGCCTCTTATACGGCCATCTAGTTCTCCCACATACCAGTCAGTTAAGCTCCAAGTTGTATGACTTTGGACCAACCCAGATGACATACATATCAAGGTGGGAATATGGGAAACAGGTACATGCCTCATAGTTTCCAAAATGTCCCAAAGTGCTTTATTTATCAAGGTGAGAAAGGAAAGGAAAAGACTGTATTGAAGCCTACAGTGACTTATCCAAGCCCATGCTTGCACACCATATTTGCAGGTTTCTAATTATCGAGAAAAAGCCTTTCATTCCTGTGTTTTATTTTGGTTCCTCCATGGAAATAGGATACTGAGAGCTTGAAGAGAGAAAAATTGGTCTAAGAAAAATTGGAAATTAAGAAGGCCCATTTATAATTATAAGCAGTATTATTTTGGTCCTGGTCCAAACAGGCTAATGAGCATAAAACAAAATAATGTAAATAAAAGTACAGAAACATATGAATGTGACTGAATAAAAATCTCATCTTAGTTAGATTAGCCATTATTATCTTCAATTTACACTTTCCCTCTCCACTGTCTTTCCTTTCTTTAGGGCAGAAGTTGTCAACCCCAGGTCCGTGGCCTAGTGCTGGTCCGTGGACTGAGCCGGACTGGGCCGTGAAGACAGACCTCCTGCATGCACTTCCCTCCCCACAGCTGCTTTGCACACGTGCATGCGTGCATGCCAACGCTGCCGTGAGCAGTCCTCCACCCCTTCATGCATGTTCCTGAGCACCCAAGTGCCCACACGAAGGGGTGGGCGGGCATGCAGGCGCTCCTGTGCGTGCTTGAAAGGATGGGGGAGTGCTCAGACTGGCGAGTGTGTGCATGCTCCCCACTGCTTCGCTCATGCGCCCGAGAGCATGCATGTGGCCTTCCTAGGAGGCTCAGTCAGTCCGCGGTCCCAAAAAGGTTGAGGACCGCTCCTTTGGGGGACTCTTTCATAATCTATTTCATGTATTATTACACAATTCCAATACAGTATTACATCCTTTAGTATATTATAATTTTTCTTTCAGAGCAATGCCTTTCCAATAAAAATGTCATAATGTAGCCATTAGTCACAAATGACAACATACTCTTTAGACAGTACTCTCCAGCTCTCACAAATATAATCAGAATAATGAATGCATGGCAAAGCTCATTTTAAAGAACAATCTCAGTTAATTAAGATAGATGTGAAGCGTTAACTAGGGGGCATGGTGTACTCAAGAGGACTAAATGCAAGACTTGTTTAAAATGTGCATCTTAAACTCCTTCGGCTCTTATCTGCCAAGTAAGGGTTGCCAGGTGAGCAGATTGTCACTCTAGCCTAAGCTAATAGATTCTCTAGTGGCTTTTGTTACTGCTCATGTCATACTATTGAAATGACGAGCCTCAAAAATGGCACAACATATGTAGCTGCAACTTGTCAGCTCCAGGTAATCATACTCTTTTTGGTTTCAAAAGCAGATGCAGATGAGACTAGCAATATAAATATGCAAATTGCAATGGTCCCTTGTCAGCCCCACGTTCCTACCTCTAATGGCCCTCGTAGAAAGTCTGTTTGCTCAGCTCCTACTTCAAGTGCAACATCCACAGAAGCAAAGGGACGGCTGGCCATCTGCTGTCGCTCCCGCATAAGTTGCTGATGGAAGGGAAAAACATTTTAGTGAAAGGTCTTTAAAATATAATAGACAACTGATTCCCCCCTTTAACATTTGCCCAATGATCATAATTGAAATCTCCAAGTCATTCAATCCCAAGAATTTTAAAAGTCTAAGCAATACATTCTGGCATCTTAGTAAAAATTACTAAAAGTATCAGGGTCTCCAGTTCTGGTGGAAAGAAGCAATACAAACAGAACAGCAGCCACATGAACTGCAACAAATGGCTAACCATGTGAGATACTAGAGATTCTGTTGTCTCCCAGTGGATTATGGTATAAACTGTTCTCGTTTGTGGGTAACTTACTACATGTCAGTACTGTAGTGGCTCCCTAATTTCCTCTTTCAAGATCATTGCCATCAAACATTCATTTTCTGTTAAGGGAGTGGAGGAGAAAGTTTGAGATGATGGTGGTCATACATCAGTCACCACTACCATCCCACATACTGTCTCTTTCTGCCATGCATAATATATGTTCATCCTCACTGCATATCCATATATACAACACACTCTACAGCCATGCACCCATTCAGCTCTCTCCATCCAGGTGAGGAAGGAAGAAACTTGGTAAGATATGAGATTTGTTCCACTGTTTTTTTGCTTGCGTTTTACCAATCATGCACACAATCTACAACAGCTGGTCAATGGAGAAAGAGCCTGAGGCAGCAAAGAGAACAAGGAATGAAGGGGGAGGAAAGGAGAAGGGCAAAGGGAAAGATTAAGTGAAGGAGAAAAACAAGGGGTAGAAAGGAAGAGGAGGATTTCTTAACAGAATGTTCTCTCCACCAGAGCTGAATAATGCTCTGGCAGAGATTCTTTGTCCTCCTCTCCCAGTGGGAGAGAGGCAAGTGGGGACACCAACAGGTGTTACCCACAAGGCTGGCTGAGGGCGGGGTGAGATGTTCTTTGTAAGGCCAGTCTGCATCCAGCCAGCCCTCTTTTATTGGTAGCAACCTATTGGCCCATTCTCCCTGGGTCCAGTGTAGCTGTTGTGGTTGCTTTGAAGTCAGATAGGAATTTTGGGCCCGTCTTATCTAACTGGCTTGAAAAGGTTGACACATGTATTTTCACCAATCCCACATTGCTTTACCCATGGGACACTGCAGGTCTGATTGCAAGTGGTGCCATGTTTTAATAGGTCACACAGGCAAGTAGTGCAGAATGGGAAGTGACTATCAATGATTTCCCAAGAGGCACAAGGGTATTATTGCACCCAATGTTGCGGCAACTAGGATATCAATATTTGCTAGCTGGGATGGGTGGTGAATGGGGCCTAGCCCTGGATGCATTCCTTCTAACTTCAAGAGAATTGGACAGTGGGATGATGGGGAGGGTCCCCCAATTTAGCTGGCCAAGTACGTATAAGCCATCCAGGGGAGAGTTCTGACCAGGAGCTTGTGACTCATCTGTTTGGGGTAAGAGGTAAAAGATACCCCTGGCACCTGCCCGAGCGATCCGCACTATGTTCAGGCCCCTCTGCAGGTTGAGGGAGGATGAAAGTAAGAATTAATAAAGTGTGGCCCTAGTTAACCCCATCACCTGTGTCTGTCTGTTTACTCCTGGAGTGAGAGGGCAAAGAAGTAATGGAAAGAGAACACGCACCAGAAACGTCCACCCTCCATTAGATTTGATTTCAGTGAGTGCAACTGAGGCTGCAGCAACAGAAACCAATGTTCTGAAAGGAACAGTAGAGGAATTGAGAAGGGACTCAATTTCCGTGGCACAAACACGGGTTACTAAACGTGTTAGTTTCTCTCACAATCGACTTTTGTGAATTCCAGTAAATTCTCATTAAAACTTAACTGAAATTTACTTCTCACCTACGGATGGATAAATGGGCATGCTTACCTAAGGATGGCAAATATGTCAGTGTTAGTAAATTATCAATTTCAAAAACGAACAGGAACATAATTCTTACACGTCCCTGGTTATGGGCCAAGTGGAAAAATGCCATGGACCTGTTTCAGCCTGTGCTCCCCCTTCCTGGTGTAGGTAACAACAATCCCACTCCCTTTAGTGCCCCGATTTTCACAGCTGATGAGAATCAATACTGAACATTTTGAATCTCTGCTAGAATGTAATTGATAACTCCCTTTTCTAAAGGGCAACCATTATCTCTTGACCTTTGCAGTCCTTTGCCCCAACATTCATTTTCCCTGATACAGTTGTTGCATCCCTGTTTAAACAGCATTGGCGGCATCTTCATATATTGTAGATCTTTAATGTTAGCATGAACAAGGCAAACTAGTTCAGCAGAACTACCCTCCTGTTATGCCCCAAACCCCAAATTATACACAGGGTTTTATTCATACAATTCAGAACAAAAAATGGCACCTCAGTATCACTCCAATTGCATTTTATGTTGGGACAAAAATATGTATTTAGTACTTTTCTTTATACTCCCTCCCTCCCTCCCTCTCCCTCTCTCTCTCTCTCTCTCTCTCACACACACACACACAGAGTTTTCTCTAAAAGTGGCAACACATACAAAGAAATGTTAGTGAGAGATTTCATCTGAAGTCTGATATCATTGATCAAGGAACAAGCTCAATGAATTCGTGCCAAGAACAAGCCCTTTCAGCCTTCAGATTCCCCATGCACTTTATTGAAGCCAGATGGAGTTATTAGTGACACTGTCTGCTGCAGCTTATATGCAATCCCTTCTCTGATTACTTAAACATGAAGAATAATGTCTGAGCATTAGAAAGCAGGTGCCAATGTAACTGAGGAACCTGAAGACCTACATTATGCTCATGTTGCTCAGTCAATTCACTGACATCACACCAGTGAGCCATGATCAACACTCTTCTAGGCGAATTTATATTTTTTTGCTTGGTCTCTAACACTAGTACTAATTAAAGAAAAACAAATAAAAATGATGCACAACACAAATCTTACCTCTCTGGATCTGTGAAACTAATAAAGGGAGTATTAAATATTTAAATCAAATTAGTTATCCAATAAAATTTGGTTCCTTGCTTCATCAAACGAATAGGATGTTTGTGGCATGTGGATGGAACAAAATGTTAGGAACTGCCAGGGCCAGAATCAGGAGCATATGGCATGGCTTAGTTCCCTACCCAAAATCAACTCATATGCCTCTTCATAGTTTGGAGTATGTTCATTTCTTTACATTTCTGGCCCTTAGAAACCCTAAGTTACTACCCACATCAAAATCTCCACGCATGCAGTGTAAACACCCATTCACTGTAACAGGTGAACACCCTTAATGTAACAAGTGCATCCAATAACACTTTTAAATCTTTCTTCCACATCTGTAATTAAGGGGTGAAGTGCCCTTTATGAATAACACAACACAACTGCCAAAATTAAAATAACAGTTATGCAGTCAGGTTATTGGGGGGGGGGGGAACCAGAACAATATTCAGTTTCTGTAATGACAAGCCTTCATTGCTTAGTACTAAGTTCATTGACAAGTCCTGCCCACACATCCAAAAAAGTATGCAGAGAAAGAAGTTCTCTTAGTAGTTATATAAAATGCTTTTTTTTTATTTTTCCACTTTGCAGAAATCTCAGAGCGGGTAATGGGATACTGCTTTAGATTCTCTGTAAGAAAATGCACTATATGGTTTGGAATTCAGTACTTTGGGTATGATTTACTGGATACTGGAATAGCAGAAATAAAGCCCAACTCTTGCAAAGAAAATGATACTCCCTGGAAATAACCACAGAGTATCAATAACCACCATCAAAGATATGATGGTGCATAAGGCATCCTTGGTTGTATTTTTTGTCAAGTATCCAAAAATACATTTAAAAAGGCATAGTAGCTTCCTTGTGAAATATTCTACTACTGTACTTTGTTACAGGGGGAAAAAACCTCATGTTTTCTGTGTGGCACAATCAAAGCTTGGAAAAACTACTTTTGAAACATGATTCTGAGCTTTAGTCCAATCATCATCATCATCATCATCATCATCATCATCATCATCATCATCATCATCATCATCATCAATCAACTTTTCTGATCTCTGGACAAAGGCCACCAGGGAAGATTTGCTACCCAAAAGTGAGTGGGTACAGTTTAAAGGGGCTGAATAAATGTAGGTCACTAATTCTGAAAAAGCATTTGAGAGTTCACAGCAGATCCATAAACAGCAATTTTGGCAGGGGAGGCTTTACTATTCATTAGTTAAGTCTGGATCAAGTGAGATTGCCATTGAGAGGAAGAAGGTGGAGGAATGGAGACGAACACTTGGGACTGAGCGCATGACAGCCATAATGGTTCCATGCTAAGCCCACATAATTTGTTTCCTTCTCCCCAGCAAGGAGCAAGTGGAAGCAGTATACACACTTGGTTCATGCTCTTCCAGTAAGAAATATCAACAGGTGTTCTTGTGTAAAATAAAATAAAATAAAATTGCAGGTTTTGTGCAAAATACAGGTTTTGTGCAAAATGTAAGTGCTTTGCACTAAAAATACCTCCAAAAGGTTTCCTTTCAAAGTCCCTAAATATGAAAACTGCCCCACAGTCTCATGCAGTGAGAAGAAAACTTCTTATCTGTTAGAGTCAAATAACTGAAGATTTAAATCCCTAGCTTTAACAATACAAGAAGTATCCAGCAGATTGCAGCAATAGAATAACGATCGAAAGCTTTGTTTGGCCAGATTTGATACACAGAATATGTAACTATATTTCACATCCCACTCCCAGTACATTCCAGTGACTTTAGCAATGACTACTGTAGTCTCAGCAGTCTGAAGACCATAGTCTCTCTCTCTCTCTCTCCAAAAACTTCAACTCCAATATAATATTAATATTTAACTACTGAAGATTTTTCTGTGTTTTTCTCCAACCCAGGCATTTTTCCCATTGTTTCCCTTTGGACAAATGTGTGTATGTCATTTCGCACAATCCCAGCTAATACTCATCACCTAGATTAACCTTCTCACCCATGTTTGCAACTGAAACTTCCCTGGATGAGTAAGAGGACAGTGAACATAATCACAACAGCTTTC